TCGATTGACATACTGTACTGTTTATTTTTTACAATATTTTTCTCAAATCTATATGTCGTTATTTGCTTCAAATTCAATTGATAAACAGAAGTTAAAGAGCAATGCCAAATGTCATTATAATATTTTAATATAAAGGATTAAGCTGAGTACATGGGAATGGTCAAAATAAAGACTTAAGATCAAATGTCAAATTTATATTAGTAAGTGTTATTTTGTATTGGAGCAATTTAAATTTTGTATAAAAAGAGACTTTTAGAGAGTGTTGGCTGTGAGGATTTCAGAACGATACAATATAGACCTCGTTCAAATGAAGTAGATGTTAGCGATTATAGTCAACCGTACTGCCTTCATCAATGTGAAAACCCCATACCGTATAGTCGGCTATAAAAGGCCCCGACATGAAAAATTGGAAACAATTCAACTGAAAAAAATTATTTTGTTTTTTTGTAATTTTATTAATTTATTTTGGATACAACCTGAGTTATGCTTATTTATTCAAATCTACCGCTAGTTCACCCGTGATGTTAATTACAATTGTATACGCCAATACTCTATGCGCGGTGTGTATATCAGATGTGAATACTGAAGATTAAGTTAAATACAATCTGCCTGTTAGTTTTTTTTTTTTTCTTTTTGCAATGGTACACAAATATTCGACTGCTCCACCCCTAAAACTTCTTATTCTAAACTTAAAAACAGTTGAAAACAGACAGTCCACCTTTGTTGTACATAACATAACAACACATTGATACACATATCCTGTTTTAGGAAAGGATAAATCATTCATGCTAAAAATAAAAAAAAGTGATTCAAACATCTCTTAAATTTACAACTTTCGGATGCATGGTTTTTTGAATAACAATACATTTATTACATTTTGAGGATGTGTTTTATCAACAAACAATCGCCATTCCCATTGGAATCAACTGTCATACGAGGCAGAAAGAATGCACAAATTAGTACCACATTTAACTTCACATTCCACTAAATAATGATGCCCGCTTACTAAACAACTTAAAATTTGGTGACCATTTTGTACGCATCTATCCCATCGAATTCAAAATGAAATATACAACAACCTCTATTTAGTTTGGTCTTTGGTAGGGAATTGTCTCATTGACATTCATACCACATCGACTTAATATGTTTATATATACAGAAACGGATTAAGATCTAGAAATTGACGATAAGGGACACTTGATGAATTATTTTTACGACAACTAAATTTATTGATTCTAACTTCCCAACTGTGATCTTTTCATGTGTGTGTAGCACCATTTCAACTGCGTCTGCCTGTGGTGTTTATATCCACAACTGTACAATAACGAATGACACTTGAGATCAACACGGTTTTGGTTGAGTTCGTGTTGTGCAGTTTTCAGTTTTCTATGAAGTGTTAATTCTTTCGTAATTTTTATGCCAATGCGTTGTCGGCTTGCCTTTCGTTGACATACTGATTCTTCTTGTCCCTTCAGTATCGGTCGCCTCCTTTTTGAGTGTTTTTCCAGAGAAACTATGTTCTATCTTTCTCTCAGCTAGATTGTTTTTATTTTTTATACAGGAACTTAACAGTAATAGTTGCTATAACTAAGCGGATTCACTGATGGTGAGCCATCTGTCCCCGAAGCATCAGTCGCATAAAAACCAGTGCTGCGATATTTGCACTATTCTAATGATACATTGTACCTTCCGGTCTTTGAAATACACCTTCATAACATTATTTCATAGTTACATGTATACAACTGAGGTTGCAACAAAGGCATTTGTTACTTTATCACTTTTACTATTTTGGTTGTTATCTTTGGATTCCGAATCCCTAAAAGCTTTCACAGGATGACACGTTATCATTTACGAGATTCAAGAAAAGCAAATTATCATGAACGAGGTTGAAGAAAGACACTCTATCACACAAGAGGTAATCAAAGTACTGAAGTACTGAACATCGGATGACCGCAAGTTCTGGTGGATGGTCACAATCACTTGTCTCAGAAAAAAAACCCTATACCTGAAAGTTAGGTTAAGGTACATAGATATATTTTTTTGAGACAAGTTCCTGTGTGGATGATGAATAAATGACAGGGAATTAAACCTCGCCGTAATAATTATTATATTGTAGTGATAAAATCATTTGTTATCAGTATACTCTGGTTTGTTGTTATATATTATATTGATATTTGTATACCAGTTATATATATATACATAGCAGATCATCTTAATAACTCTACAGGCAAATGTTCATCCATTCACATATCATATTATTCTACTATTCTAAAGATAGTGCAGTGAAGGTGCATGGTGAACACTCTTCTGTAATAATTCGTTTTTCTAATAGATCGGATTTGAGTAGGCATTCATATTTTCCCGCTTTTGTTGCAAAACGTTCTCGAGATATTCTTCCGCATGCGTTAACACAAATTTTCGGTATTCATGATTTGTTATTGATATATATATATATATATTTCTCACGACAAAACATTTTCATATCATTTATCTATGTTCTTAAAAATTATTTTCATGAATATTTATTGATGAAATTAATATAAAACAAGCGATAAGGAATGTTATTTTGCACTCGATAATATCCGCGTAATTATACGAAATACGTTCGGTTATCAGTCAAAAGCGCAAGGAAATTTCTGCGGCAACATAACACCGGTATGACCTCTCAAGGTCACATCCGATGTAATAAAAGGCACATTATCATGAACGAGGTAATAGAAAGGCACAGTATCATGAAAGGTATTACAAAGGTTGATCGAGGTAAAAGAAAGACGCATTATCATAAAGAGGTAATAAAAAGGCACATTAATATGATCACAAACTAAGTAATTGAAAGACGCATTATCATGAACGAGCGAGGTAAAAGAAAGGCAGATTATAATGAACGAGGTAAAAGAAAAGAGGTTATCATGAACGAGGTGATAGAGAGACACCTTATCCTGAACAAGGTTGTAGAAAGACACATAATTATGACCGAAGTAATTAAAAAAACCCATTATCATGAACAAGGTAATGAAAAGGATGATCATCATGATCGAGGTAAAAGAAAGACACATCATCATGCACGAGGTAATAAAAAGGCTGATCATCATGATCGAGGTAGAAAAGACACATTATCATGCACAAGGTAATAAAAAGGCTGATCATCATGATCGAGGTAAAAGAAAGACACGTTATCATGCACGAGGTAATAAAAAGGCTGATCATCATGATAGAGGTAAAAGAAAGACACGTTATCATGCACGAGGTAATAAAAAGGCTGATCATCATGATCGAGGTAAAAGAAAGACACGTTATCATGCACGAGGTAATAAAAAGGCACAGTTTTATGAACGAGGTAATAAAAAGGCACAGTTTCATGAACGAGGTAATAAAAAGGCACAGATTCATGAACGAGGTAATAAAAAGGCACAGTTTCATGAACGAGGTAATAAAAAGGCACAGATTCATGAACGAGGTAATAAAAAGGCACAGTTTCATGAACGAGGTAATAAAAAGGCACAGATTCATGAACGAGGTAATAAAAAGGTAAATTTTCATGCAAGAGGTAATAAAAAGGCACATTTTCATGCAAGAGGTAATAAAAAGGCACATTTTTATGCAAGAGGTAATAGAAAGGCACATTATCAAGAACGAGGTAATAGAAAGGCACATTATAATGAACGAGGTGATAGAAAGGCACATTATAATGAACGAGGTAATAGAAAGGCACATTATAATGAACGAGGTAATAGAAAGGCACATTATTAGAGTTATTGCCTTTTAATGACGATTTTTTACCAATTTTGTGCCTTATTGCTTAAATATTAAAACCCATATAAGATAAATAGAATATTTAATAAGCAAAAATCATTAACACACAAGATCAACAACAAATAAGTTCACATGTCCGAAATTCTTAGTCGACTTCTAATTGAGCTATTGCCTTTTGATGACAATTTTTACCATTATGTTGCGATTTGGCTAATATTTTAAAAACGATAATAGAACGATAGAAACTTTAAAAAGAAAAATATGATCAAAATGACGTGACTGTGTGAAAAGTTGACGTCTGCCAGTTGATAATTCAGGAGATAAAACATAATAAACGAAATATACAAGACTTTTATGTTTATAATGTTGATAATGGATAAGAAACTTCCCTTTTCGTGAGTTCAACCACGGTTCCTGATTGGGTTCGTGTTTCTGAATTTTTAGTTTTCTCTGGTGTATGTTGAACGTGTTGAACACTTTAGTTCGTTTGGTTGCTTTTGTTATTTTAGTCATTATGTTGTATTTCACTTATAGTTTTTGATTTACCAATCATAATCTTTTCTTGACATGTTTTAAATTTTTTGTATGCCGTACTGAAACTTTTGAATTGCATTTCCTCACATAAAATAAATGCATATTCAAGCCCAAATATTTTTTTTGAAAATTCTATATCATGGCTTGCTCTTTATATTAAAAAAATATAGTCTGATATACTAAGGGGATATTTAAAACAGAAACGTAAATTGTCATGGCAAACAAAACGAAATGCAAACAACAATCTACACCTGAAAACACAACATAGAAATGTGACTAAGTGTCGTCATCTAACAATCAAATTACAATTGAGGAACAAATACGTCAGCGTGGTGTTTTAGGTTAAACTTTGTACTTTCCTACAACACGGCATTTATATCTTATTAGGTTTTGATTTGATTAAACAAAGAAGGAAATATTTATACATTGTGACAGTCTTCATACAATGATTGAGGAAAGGGGAACCATTAAGTCTCTAAATTTGGAATCAGCGTAAAGTTAGCTATTATTTTACATCGGACGTGACTTTTATTTAACCGAAAGTGGCTAATTTTCTCCCTGAATTAAAGAAAACATTGCATTTTCAAAATGTTTAAATATTTCGTGTCGGTTCATTATATCATATGGTGGGGTTTTCTTTGGTTTGAAAACCAAAATATATGTTTGAAAAATTCTATTCAAATAAAATCGAAAAAAAAATGAAATTCTATAAATGCACTGAAAATTTACAATTTATTTAAAAAGATAGTACACAAACTTTAAAATGTATAACATAGGCGATACATTCGTAAAGATAAGTTAATTGACAACATAGAACACGTCGATTTGCAGTAAAGTTTATTGTCTGAGTTCATTTGAGTTTAATACGCCTTTAAATGATCGAATACTGTTCAGATTGTCTTATTATTTAATTCCATTGGAAACAAAAACAATATACATGTGTACATATATATACAACAATTATGAATTGTTATTTCCTCTTTTTTCCACAAAATTTTCTATACCATCTACGTACATAAAGTCATCGTCGCTTTCACTTTCGCTTTCACTTTTATTAGATGCCTGGGCTACATGTTGCGTCATAAAATCTATGTCCGAATAAACCGTTCTGTCACCAATGCCATGTATAACAACTTCATGCACAGTTGGTACATCTTCAAAAATAACTTCTGCATATTGTAGACTACTTTCACCAATCTGGAATAATATGGATATAACAACACACCATAAGAAAGGAGAAGCCTTGTATGTACGATGATGTATTGCTTAATAAATTTATTAATTTTCATGCAACTGCATCAGCATTGCAGGACCTACACTCACCAGCGACTGCAACACCTAAATACTTGAATGTTCGTGGTTATTGTATCAAAAACATTCACGTTTGAAATTACCATGCATGCTACTTTTAAAAATGCAATACAAGTCCATATCGGCTTAATCACACAACATATAAAAATATACATGTAGTGTTGTATAAAAACGTCGTTCACATCATTCAGGTTAACTACTACTAGTTGTCACTCATCAAGGAGAAATATCGTGATTCACATCTCTATACTATTTAAGGAGGGCGTGACATAGTGACTCGTATTCAGCCTTTCAACTTTATCAGCGAAATGCTTGCTGGAAAATGGATATATGACAGCTAAGTCTAATAAATACTGGACGTGTTTGAGTGTATTTACCAGTTAACCAAGTTCAATTCGATTGTTGAAGCATGATCACATCACAGACATACATTTAAAAAAAAAAGAAATTGTCTTGGACATAGTATGCAAAGTAAGTTACCTCTAATCCACGTACTGGCGATAGGACACTTCTGTTTGAATAAGACACACTTTGACCGTTTGCTAAAGAAAAATAAGAGATGAACTGAATTTAATAACCACTTAAAAACTGAAGAACACTTTAGGTTAGTGTTATATTGAGAAACGCCTCATTAGTTCAGCGATCGAATTAAAAATTGTGATTTCTAAAATTAGAAACAAACTCCACAACATGATCTTGAACCAGTCCAATGTCAGAAACCTGTTGTCTTATAGAATGTATTTATGCGTTTTTGTTTTCAATAGACGATGTTATAAATCCTTTGATATATTTATCTTTAATCTTTGAGACCTGGGTCAATTCAAAGCTCGACATATTTTTAAAAAGATGTCTATTGTTGAAGACTGTTTGTTGATGTATTTATTCAGTCTATTTGTATCGTGATGTCTTTCTACAGAAGGTGTGTGGTTCTCTCATGGCACTCTGGCTTCCTCTAGCAATACAGACTAACTGCCACGAAAAAGCACAATAGTGCTAGAAGTGACGATAAACACCATTCAATCAATCAATCAATCAATCATTGTAACGTGATTGACGTTAACCTCATTCTTCTTCTTTCCATATTTTACATTAAAGGATAAGACAGTGCGAAACTAGCTTTTTTTTATACGATCATACCTCCATTTTCATTATACAGTCGCATCTGATGAGTTTGATTATCATGAAACAAAGCTGGTAAGTTCTGATATGTTTCGTTTTGATTTAAAACGTGATGTACAGCTGCTGCATTTTGGAACGGAGACGACTGGTAAAGTTGGTTCTCAACTGATTCCCCTGTAAAATTTCAAACGAAAAATCAAAGTTAATAAACAAATATGGAAAAAAATAAAATAAAATATGGTAAAAAACGTTAAAAAAAAATTGTAAATCCATATCTAACCAATGTGGTCATCCATATAACATGTTCAAGCTATGGACAAACTGGCGTTGTGTACCAAACTAAACATACTAGGCATTCTGAGAAGCCAAATAGACACATAAATATTAACTGAAATTAACTGACAAGAAACCTGACTTAATGGTTATGGTTAACATGGCACACATAAAAAAAATTGATTAATGAATAGTAGCGAACTATTTTGTATCGATAACAAAAATAAGGGGTGACAGACTGAAAGATATTGGGATACAATCTCTCTGCTCTTCTTGTTTGATTACATCATTGTTTATGTTAAGATTCTGTATATAACGGACATGCGTTATAAAATAAGATGTGTTCATCATATCTTTCTACAATAAAATCAAAATCTATTAATGTGTGCATTTATCTTCTTTGTATGTATACATTGCATATCTTCGTCGTTTAAGAGTAAAAATATTGTTTTCAGACTAAATGTCAATAACTGTACAAAGGGAAACAATTCAGTTTAAAAAAATCAAAATCTATATCTCCCTTGTAACATATATTGCAAGCTGTCCCAAGTCAGGAACCTGTAGATGATTGGTTGTCTTTTTTTATGCCCCACATATGGGCATTTGTTTTTCGGTTTGTGCGTCCGTTAGTTCGTCTGTTCGTTCGTCCGTTCGTCTATCCAACTTCAGGTTAAAGTGTTTGGTTCATATATTTGGTCAAGGTAGGTTTTGATGAAGTTGAAGTCCAATCAACTTGAAACTTATTATAAATGTTAAATGATAAGATATTTGTAATTTAGAGTTTTGACCCCAATTTCACGGTCAACTGAACAGAGAAAATGATAGTGCGAGTGGGGCATCCGCATACTATAGACACATATGTTATACGTTAAAACTTTTATTGTTTTGCATAGTTTGTTCTTCTAATGTACTGTTACACCTCTGTCCAAGGTTTTGATAGGGTTGGCCTTCAATCATGTTTAACCCCGTCATATTCTGTAAATGCCTGTCCCAAGTCAGAATCCTGTAATTCAGTTGTTTGTTGTATGCATGGTTTATCACATTTGTTTCTCGTTCATTGTTCAATATATATTCACCATGGTGAATGGTTTTAGAATCGTCATTTCGAGGCCTTTTATTAGCTGAGTATCGGTATGCGTTTCTCATTGTCTTCATGACTTCTATGTTATTTGATCTCTGGTGTAGGTATATCGCATAGGCATTTATACCACATCTTCTTTTTTTCTTCTATCTATCAGTATAATTAAAATAATGTTATTTTACTGATTTACTTGACTATACTTTTGTTGTATATCTTATGTTTCGGTACACATATATTCTACATTAAAAACGATGATAAAAAATATAACAGTACCTTGAAGATTATCTGTTATCTCGTCATCTCTGCTACTAAAAAGAATTATGCCAAAAATTGGAGTATCAAACATTTCGTAGTTGTTTTACCATATACTATGAGGTGAAAGCGATATAATACTGGATCAATTAAGAATTGCATATGTATGTAAAATAACATTTGGACCAAATTTTTTATTGAAATTGTCAAAGTTAACAATTGTTTGCAGACGATTGAATGATTTTCGTATGACACGGAATAACAAAAAAATATTTACTTTCTTTTTATTTATTCACGCGAAGTTTGTAATTTTAAAAAGAAAATGCATATTGAGGTATAATAATACATAACGGTCCGTTAAGGGTATTGGAATTTACAAATATTTCTTTTTAATAGCATTAAAAAAATGCATAAATTAAAAAAAGATTGAACAAATATTAAATAGAATTGTTTATTTACATGCAATATAACAGAATAAAATATCTGTAGAACTAATATAATTAATTAAAATAGTAATCAATACACATACTCATTGATATAGCTAGATACATCTCTTGCTGAAAGAAGCAGAAAAGAAATGCTGTTGATTAAAAATGCAAAGTTATGGATATTCAACTGCTATTAATATAAATCCATTGCACACTGTATTCAAAATATAAATAATGTAATCAAAATAAAAATAAAAGTATTTCCTCGACTTTGACACATGTAACGTAGGATTCGCTTACCCTTCCGGAGCACCTGATATCAAATCGGATTTTGTGTTGTTCGTGTTGCTCAGTCTTTAGTTTCTATTTGGGTGTTTTGCATACTGTAGAATTGAGAATGGAACCAGGAAATGTGTCAAAGAGACAACAACCCGATTTATAGCAGACTACAGCACAAGGCCAATAATGAGCTTTTAATGAACACAGCGAGGAAAATTTAAACTAGTTTTATTTGTATACGTTTTTGTCATGGTGTTGTCAGTTTGTTGTCGACTTATGAGTTCGAATATCTTTTGGTATCTCGCACCTCTCTTTTGAAAAAATACCATACTGTAAACTATGTACCAATGTATTAAAGAAGTATCGAACACTTTGCTCAAAATATAACTTTGTTTCAAATGAATGTAAAAAACTGTTTTGAAGACGAAAGTTGTGTTGAATTTCTTTGTCTCTTTCCATTTGCATTTTCTGCACAGTTGTATCATAAAACATTTTATTTATCGTACCTTTGTTCCTTATAAAGAATACTATCCTCATTACAATCGTTAGAACCAGTATGAAGATGATCGGCACAACAATTGTTACTACTGTAACTGCAGATCCATTATTTGATAGGCCTGCAGACAAATTAGTGTAAACGTAATTTTGAATAATAATACGAACAACGAACGCAATGGATCATTAATCAACGGGGGTATTACGGTTTTTTTGTTTGTGTTTTTTTTTTTAATTATTTGTGTATGTTTTGTTTTGCTTTATCAGTCAAGCCACTTTCGAATAATTTTTATAATTTTTTTTCTTATGTTGTGGTTTTACACCATTGTCCTACATGTACAATGATGTATGTCAAGGAGAGAGTGCGCCCTACAACCATGTTTAACTCTGTTATTTTCTGTAAGTGCCGGTCTGTTCCTGGTCAGGAGCCTGTAATTCATTGGTTTTCGTTAGTTGCTGTATATAAATATTTTTTCGTTTACTGTTTTTCAGATAAAATAAGCCGTTATTTTCCTCGTCGTAATATAGCTTGCTATGTGGTTTGCGTTTAGTTTATTAAAGCACAAAGTTCTTTCCAATAACAATGTATAGACAAACTAAGCAGCTCACAGAGAAAAAAAATAACGGTAAATATAATCGGAAACGGGAATATCTCTAGAGGAAAGATAAAGACTGGTCAGCATGGTCAGGTTAATTTACTACATTTTTTTAAATACTCACCTAAAGACAGTACCAGAGTGAAATCCGTCTTATTACGTATACATTGTCCAAATCTATTCGTTGACAATACTTGAACATAATATCGAGTATTCGGACTTATATCATATAATAGAACTGTCATCATATGCTGCATATTGTCCATTACAGGTTCTGTCTGCCTCCACATTTCTGCGGTTTCTGTTTTATATTCTATAACAAATGTCTGAAAAAATCCTCCGTCAAATCCTGGACACCAAGAAACTTTAAGATATGTTTCAAAGGGAATAACTGACACATTTGTTGGAGGCTCTGGACAACCTGGTTTATTAAAAATGTATATATAATATACAGACCTTCTAAAATTCAAACTGACCATTATTCCGTGCGTTCATCGTGTATCGTGCGTGTTGCGTGCGTGTATCGTGCGTGTATCGTGCGTGTACCAATCGTGCGCTCATCATTCATCGTTCCGTGTATTTTCCGTGTAACGTGCGTGCATCGTGTATTCTTAATCGTGTATGGTGCGTGTATCGTGCGTGTATCGTGCGTTCATCAATCATTCATTCTTAACCGTGTATCGTGCGTTCGTCAATCGTGTATGTAACTGTGTACATCAGATAACGTGCATTTGTCAAACGTTCATCTCTAATCGGGTAACGTTCATTCATTGCGGTTTTTATATGATAGTCGGTTATAGAGCTCATCAAAGCTTATATTTTATCTCACGGTTAAAGTGTATATATATATGTTCCGACTTTAAATAAAATTCACATTCATACTTACTTTCTTGTGAACACTTAATTAACTTCATCGTACTTAACGTTCATACAGATTCATGAATTTTTGTGTAAAATTTATTTATCATCTGTAAACATTTCGTGGTTATTCAGTGAATCTTGGCTGGGACTGACACATTTTAATATAATGATACATGTTCTACGTACAAACAATAACATGATGACATTTCTACGACAGAACAGTTAAAATTGGAATTTCTATTCAACTGAGCGTAATGGGCTTAAAAATATACTGTTGGCCAACTGTTATTTGTTAAAAAATATTCCGCCAATTGAAAACAACAGTGCTTTTGCAAAATTTAGATGTTGGGTAGCTCCACTAAAAATAGAAACTGGAAAGTATGAAAGAAAAGAAGTCCACGAGATGACATGTGTTGTAGCTCTACTATTGAAGATGAACTTCATGTCATTTTAAAATGCCCATTATATGTAGATTTAAGACAAATTATGATACATTAAGCTAAACATTTTAATGAACATTTTAACCTTTAATTATCAGATAGCGAAAAATTTATATTTTTATTTAATAACGGCAATGTTGCAGCTATAGTTGCCAAAAACATCAACAATATTTCATTGAAAAGAAACGGCATTTTATTTCCTAGTTCTCAAAGAAAAAATGTTTTATTTTCATATAGTACAGGTGGACACTGTAAATTTTAAATGTAAATGAGTAAATATATTGTGTCTTAAAAGTCTCTCATTATTCTTTTTAAGATTGGTACATACAATGCAAATGTTTTAATGTTTTATGTTTATTTCTGTGATTCTCATTTTATGTTTGTATGTGGTGAGACTATAATAAAATATTGAATCAGTATTAACATGATTAATGTTCAACTTGAGTCATTTCTCCAATGTTGAACAATGCAAGATTATAATTCTTCGCTTATTTGGCAAATTCATATTCTACTAAATATTCAAACATTTAAGTTTTGATAAATACCATTACAAATATAATTTTTGTCTTCGTTTCTGATGGTCACGTACAGGTAAGGTTATTCCATTGAGAAAATACAATATACAAGATTGTCGGGTAAATGTGGATTGCGGATTAAGATTTTAGATGTCAAACTTGAATTAACAAATTAAACTGAGGCGAATTTAACACGAATATGTATTTTCTCTTCAACAGTGTTTTTATTCTCTGTTCTTTATTTTCATTTAAAATAAGCTAAATATGTTTTGTGGAAAATTGAATACAAATAAACATATGTATTTGAAGGCATTTTTTTAATTAAACAAGTATAAGATCACGCACATATATCCCGTATTCCTCAAGAAGGATTTTAAATTGAGGAACTTTTTAAACTTGAAATTGTGTTTACGAGTTTAAGATATTCTTTTTTATTTAAATTTTTTGATAAAATAGTTAAATATATTGTATTATCATAACAAGTCTTTATTTAAATGGAATAAACATGGAATACTTTCACAGATTCACTTTTCATTGTGTTCATGGTTGCATATCAAGGACACCGTTTTTAATGTATGTCTAAAAGATTAATATCCGAAAAAATAATTCACAATAGTACTTTGTATTAAAGAATGACGGATTATTTTACCATGGGGGTATTTTTTGTTCCGTTACTGAGGACATTTTTTTGTCCTTTATGAATCCATATGACAAATTTGACTCCAATAAGGATAAATTTTATCTTATAGAAAAATCGGTAGTTTTTATCCGATAGATTTTGTGTTCATCTTTATCGGATATAAAAGACTGAAAAATACAAACAATTAATTGAAGTTTCGTATGCATCTATCACGATCCAGCAACTTTTGACTAGTATAAAGGGTTGCCTTGGTTTTATAGCTCAAAACGGTATCATTTGTTTTGCTTTACATTGGGTTAAATAATGAAATGTATGTTTCAGAAATTTACACAAGTTTGATTTCGGCTTTGACTCCCGGGGACACTGTCGTTTACAGTAAAAGACGAAAATCTACACATGTACGTTCTTATAAAAAAGAAGTTGTGGTATGATTGCCAATGTTCATCATTATATCATAATTATTGTACTCCCCCTAATAATGAATCTATAATATATGCCACTGGACGTTAAACGATCAACTATTAATTCATCCATCTTATCCTTTTAGTTTTGTGATAATTTGCATATCAAATACATGAAACAACAGGGGCGGATCCAGCCATTTTAAAAAGGGGGGTTCCAAACCCAGGGCAAAAGGGGGGAGGGGGGTTCCAACTATTATGTCCCCAATTCAAATGCATTGATCGTCCAAAAAAAGGGGGTTTCCAACCCCCTGAACCCTCCCCCTGGATCCGTCACTGAACAACTGCAGAGTTTCACTAAAGTTAGAAGGCCGATATTATTGCACATATAAAATAGACATTAACATCGATCCCTACGTTTTGATCCCCTCACAAAACAACACTTTATAAATTTCATGCATATATAACGCTTTTCTGGATTTACTTTCACTAGGAACGCTCAATGCTAAATATTTGAAAGCCAAAGAATGTATAAAATAGATAGGAGTGTAGAGCTATATGACCAATAAAGGGCCTATACACATTCACAACATTCTGTGTATTTATGTGACTGTCCAAAGTCAAAAGCACGTAGTTCAGTGGTTTTCGTAACATCAATTCTGTTATATACATGTATTTGGGCTTTTTTTGTGGCAAGATACATGTAGCTTTGAAATAAAGAAGGCCGTTAGTTTGCTCAATTGAATTGTTTCATATTTTTTTCATGTCGGGGCGGGGCCTTTAATAACCGACTTTACAGTTCCCGTATTTTTTCATTATTGAAGGTCGTATAGATATAACTGCTAGCATTCCTCTTGATTTGAACTTTCTTGAATAGTTGACTCACTAGCAATTATATCACATTTTCTTATTTTTACAAAAGCCTTCAATCCATCAAAAGCCAATTTAGTCTGCTGAAGCTGAAACCTACGTTTCTTAAAAAAAATCTAAATTTATATACTGACAATTTAAGAAATGTTTGTCATAGATATCTGTTCGTGATATAAGTATCAAAATATTTTAGCTATGAAGATGTGTAAACCCTTAAATAAACCCTATTTCTTTGGGCAATACCTACGGGAATTAAAATAATAAAAACCATTATTAGAAAATCGGAATATATATGTGTGTATGACTCGGAGGTGCAATGGAGATCATAAAGTTTGATGGCCACGCGTGAAGTGCGCTGGTCTGCGCCGAAGTGCGATGAGCTGTTCGATGGTTTGCGATGGTTTATATAACGCGGGATACCTAGATTAAAGTCTACAGATGTGCAATTATTATGAGCAGTATATTTGTTTCAATGTCAGTATATAAAACATTTACTAGTGTTATTGTCTATGAATGTAATAGTTAAAGTTGCCGCGTACTAATTTAGAGACCGTCCTATTTGATGTTTTGCATGTGGAAATTATTCTTGCTTCAACATGTATCTTTACTTAATTTGTTCCTCTAATGAGATCCTCATATACCGTTATATAATCATAAGAATAGTTTCACGGTGGACCCGTATGTATTGAGGGAATGACACTTCATCGTACGTAAAAACAAATCTTTCGCGTTTCACAGTCCTACATGTATATTGAATTTTACCCACAACTCAGAAAGTTGACCAGCGCGGGGTATGCTTAAACCTCTTATTCTTGATGTCAGGTAACTTACTCGTGTTTATGTTGGATTGCTGTCTGATTGACGAATATCCGTCATTTTATATATATATAACAAACAAATTTAATTTAAATATATATATATATATATATATAAATAAAAGTTAAGTAGAATCCGTATGCTGGTAACATATAAGAAAATTAATAAAAGTTAATAACGGTTTCAATTCATCACTTTTACTAGCGCTTTCACTGCTTTTACAGATCTTCAGGTAATATATATATATTTAAATTTGTTTTTTAGGGATGCATCCAGTTGCACCTTTTCATTTAAAATATATTTCCGTGAAGTAATCTCAAAAGACTACTCACTTCAATAAAAAATAAATAAGGGAAATTTAACCTCTTCTCGCATGTTGCACTTTGTGTAATTTTTCTCTTCTACAAAATACTGCCTTGAACTCAATTTTGGTATAAATATAAAGAAGCCTCATTTGGTTCTTAAATGGATATTTTTTAAACACCTAAAGCTAGGTAAGGCCTATTTCTTGATATAGGCTCTTAAATTCGGCAACTTTTAGAGACAGACCGTGCTTGGGTTGTATAGCCAGTCAAGGTCGCTAAACTCTCATTATCCGTTTAGAGATTTTCTGAAAATACGATGGTTACTGTCTCATTAGAAACTAAAACCTTATCAAATATGGTGGCCTTCGGTTGTCATCTGCTCTTTTCGGGTTGTTGTCTCTTTGACATATTCATCATTTCCATTCTCAATTTTAAAATAACTAAAAATATGATAAACAGTTGTCAGATCAATATTCATTTAACAAGCCAGTGCGTTGATACAGGTTATATTCTACTGAATTTACTATATCCGTTGTTATTACGTAATTATATAAGTCCCGTGTCCAGGTAAAAATAACAATTTGTGGTTTGTATGTCAGGTGAAAGTGACAACGGGTGGTATGTATACTAAAATGTTTATCGTCTTCCATTATACATGAGGGTGTGGATGGGGGTTTATAGAATAGAAAATTATTGACCAAAAAATAAAGAATACAAAAAATAACCAGACAAATATATAGAAAAGAAAATGATGAGGTACTAGAATATATGGAATAAAGAATGATCGACAAAAGGTATAACGATTAGAAAAAATGCCTAAAATGATAGAATACAGAAATAATGAATCCCTATTCAGACCCTCATAATTTTACGATGACATTTAGCTTTAGGACAATTATGGGCATGCGATACAGTTTTAGAACCACACTGATTTTTTTTTACAAAAGTTCACATATATACAAGCTAATTTTTACAAAATCAATTTGTATATGTAATAAAAATTATATCTTCATGTGCTAAATTTAAAAGACAAATGGGTTTGAATTATTCTTCATTAAAAATTTTACTTATAACATTTCGGTTTCTTGGACATTTTTGTCCTTTGAACAGACATCCTTAGTTAACTTTTTTGTTTCAAAAGATAAAGATATGCGGATTTCGGTAAAGAGATTAGGAATATCTTCGTTATAAAATTGGGCTCTACATTTGTGTAACAATTCTTTGTTAATATTTAATTTTTGTGAAAAGAAATTGATACAAGAAGAAAAAACGGTATTTTTGTTGTATATTTATCTAGTTAAAAAAAAGTCGGTAATTTCTTCATAAAAGTTTCAACGAATAATCTTCATACAGTATCAAGCAAAATGTCATGTCTAAAATGAGGGAGCCATAACTGATAACACTTTTTCCTTAAAAAAATGAAAAAATAATTATTTGGATAAGAAAATAACCCAGATATTTAGATATATTAGAATAAAAATATTTTTTTAATTTTTTAAAAATCATTTAATATTCATCGGTTTATGATTAAATGAAAAATATAGAAAATTATTAAGTTGTTTTTAAGAAAGGAAAATAATGTTTGTCCCGAGAAAAAAGCCCCCCCCCCCTATGAATGATCATTAATTTACCTAAGTGGGGGCTTAAATTTGGAGACCGATCGTGCGGCCTGACTGCCATAAACAACAGATAACGAACAGCAAACAGTGGATACACCAATTGATATGTATGAAAGACAACGGCGGACACAAAATGATTGCACTGAATAATTTCAACTACCATTGAGATCGTTTTTTTTCAAATCTCCTTATCAAATTAGAAATGCATTTTAAAAAACCTTGGGATATCTTTTACAGTTTGGAATTGGAATTGGAATTAAAAATTGCATTTCCCAAAGAGTTTCAGGTAAAACCCCGAGAATCTCACCTCCTAGAAATTTGAAGTGCCAGGATGTTTGAAAATATGTATAAATTTTTTTACATACTTGAAATTGTATAAGGATTATAAAAAGATTCAGTATGTTTACTGTACAAACCAACAACAGACACCAAGTGATGGATACAATTGTGGCTTATATTGTTTAATTTATTTTTACTGAGAGCAAAATTTGATTGATTGATTATTCAGTGGTTGTTTAAACGTCCAGTGGCAAACATTTCATGCATATTCAGGACGAAAAGTCGTTTCAGAAGTATATAATGAAGTATTTGGTATTACAAATGTTTTAATTTTCTCATTATTTGGTAAATTTCATTTTCTTAGCTATTTCTAATTAATTTGTACGAATCAGATTTTTCTGACAAATTATATATTTTGCTCTAAATTAACTCATACGATTCTGATAATATAAGGAACATTGTAACTTCAGTAAAAAAAAAAAAAGATTATGATTGTTTAATCAGTTGTTATGTAAGTTCGCTCGTGTCAGTCGGATCACTGATTTTCGGCAATATCAAGGAAAAACCGGCACGTTCCAAATATTGTTCAACTACTCATTTAATGGTGATTCTTTTTCTTTAAAAATTGGAATTTATGTAATAAAAATCTATCTATCTCTACCATAGTATGAAAATAGAGTACAAGTAACACGTCCTTTCTAGTCCTTAGTGGCATATTATAAGTCCTTAGCAGTGTTTAGACGTACAGGCAGAAAACAGTCGAAGGCCACCAGTGGGTAGAAAATCCCGCACCGAAGGCGTTTTTCAGCTGGTCCCTAAACAAAAATGAATTTTAGTTCAGTGATAATGGACTTCATACTAAACTTCGAAACATACAAATATTTCCTAAATTTCGGAAGATAAACATATGATAATTAATTAGTTATGGTTACAAATTTAGACAGATAAAAAGAAAGGGGGGGGGGTCAATGCATTTGAATGGGGACATATGGTTAAAACCACCCCTTTTATCCTGGGTTGAGAACCCTCTTTTTAAAAATGGCTGGAATCGCCACTCTTTAAAACGTAGCAATTTATAAATTATTTATATTAAGTAGAATTATAAAATCGATGAGTTTTATAATTTGACAACACTCATTGATATTGGAAATACTATACTACAATTAATTTATTTAATACATGGAGTGTTTAGTAAAACTGTCGACCAATCAACACAGAAAGCGAGATATCTAAAATTTGTATACCCTTATAGATTTTCATTATCACATATCAATTTTAAATGCAATTTCAAATAAAATGGCTTTGAGAACCGTGTATTAAGCGCTTATCGTTCATTCGTCAATGAATCATTCACCGTGCGTGTATCGTGCGTGTATCGTGTGTTCATCATTCATCGTGCATCGTGCGTGTATCGTGCGTTCATCATTCATCATTCATTTTTCGTTAATCCTCCGTGTAACGCACATCGCTCATCGTGCGTGTATCGTGTATCGTGCATTCACCGTGCGTGTATCGTGCGTGCGTGTATCGTGCGTGTGGTCAGTTTGAATTTTAGAAGGTCTGTACATGTATATGTTAAAGAACTCTGCAGTCGTAAGTGACATTTTTCCTATTACCACCTCAAAACAACAATATACAATTTAAAGCAAATTTCCTGACGGTTGGCTTTTATCTTCAATGACATATCAGAATATGTTTATCACCATTTAAGTTATCAAAACATTTCTTTGAAAATTCAAGTTAATACACGAAACTTCATAGTTCAAACCCCGCACTTCTTAAAAAAATATAGCGAACAATTAACAAAATAATTCATTCAAGTTTCATGAAATCGTATCAAATTTATCTTTGTTTTTGTACGACGTATGGACGGGTGGATAGAGAACGATTCACCTCACTATAAATCATGGCTGCCGAATAAAAGACTACGTGTTTTTTTGTTTGTTTGTTATTAAAACATAAATATCATTTCTGCTAGAAATATCAGGACTTTTATTTTATCTATGTATCTGAGCGACATGGTCCATGTGTTCCTTGCATGCATAATATAAAGTTATTTCAAATAAAATGCGGCTCGCTGGTAAAAGGGAAACTATCCAATTTGAATCGTGTGTCAATTGTTTTTATCACAAAAGTATTCTTAACGCCCGTCAATAGAATAAAGTATAAATTATGTCTATAGTCCGCACGTCTGTATAAGGTACTAGATATACTCACTTGCCGATTTAATCAGTACCATGTACTCATTGCATCCTTTTTGGTTACAAGCTGTTATTGTGTAGTCATTAAAATCTTCAGCTTTATCCAAAACTATTTTGAAGGTTATCTTGATACCATTTACTGTTACGTTAACATTGTGAAATACGTCATTCGTTACAATTTTCATCATAGTAGTCTGTATGTTTAGAGTTATGTTATCTTTAGAAATATTTGCTTGGATGTTGCCAAACTTGTTGTACAGAAGCACGGTCAAGTTAATCTCCCGACTGTATTGTCCGAACTGAATTGGTTTGTTTGCTTTCACAAATATTGGCGGACCTAAACAATGAAACACATGTGCATAGATGTTAACATATGCTTAGTATATTGATATGTTACAACCGTTGATTTGAAGATACTTTAGTATTTAATTTCAAACACCTGCTCCTTTAACAAATTGCATATTGTTGTGCAATGTTCAACACAATTTGAATGAAAATAAAGCCAATTCTTATTATTGTATATCTATTTTTTCCATCTATAAATATAAAAAAAATCTTGTTTATTCATTATAAGAATATGATGCGGATATCAAAGTATACGTAGCAAAGGGTACCACTTAAATGTGAGGGTATGGCCATTTGTACCTTACTGTAAAGTATTTTGCGTAATTTTCTAAGAAGATCCGGCAATTGCAAAGAAGTGGTAAACCTTAACATAGATATGTAACATTGTATTCTGACATTATTTTAACATAAAGTTTGTAGAATTCTTTAAAGTTTGTCTCATGAACATTCCTTGTAAAGTCCTTTTCAGAATAGCATATTTGTTACGGTTGGATTAACTTCGTGTGAATATAAAATTATAGAGCGACAAACATTTTAAAATTCACCATCAAGCATATCATCGAAATGTATGCTTCTACATTTTTCATGGTTGGGTTTTTTAAAGCCAACTATACATTGCGCAAGGTCATGTTTTTCTATGACTGTTTATGACGTCTTTAAATAAATCAATTGGATGATTAATGTGTACTGATTGATAATTTCGTCTTCGATGCATGATATTCTTTAGTAGATGTTATTGGCTTTGAACAAGCTGTCAGTAACTGCGAGGACTCTCAGATGAGTACTAAGTGTCTTATTGTTTTTGGGATGCACAAGTACCCAGCCCCGCCCACTCTGTGTTTTTGTTACATGTATTTCAATTTGTATCTATCTGATGAGTAAAGCCTTTTTCAACTGATTTTTATAAATCGTTCTTATGTTGTACTGTCCCATGTTAGAGGTAGAATTATGATCCCGATAACATGTTTAACCCCGCACATTCTGTGGGTATGTGCCTGTCCCAAGCAGTTCAATGGTTGTAGTTTGATTCTGTGTTACATATTTGATTTCATTCATTTGTTTTTTACATTAATTAGGCCGTTAGTTTTCTCGTTTGAATTATTTTACGTATTTTACTTAGAGGCCGTTTACAGCTAACTGTGTGGTATGGGATTGGTTCATTGTTAAAGGCCGTACTGGGACCTAAAGCTTTTAATTTCTGTATCATTTGGTCTATTGTGGAGAGTTGTCCCATTGACAATCATACCACATTTTCTTTTTTATATATCCGGTATGCTTTTTTGCATTGTTGAAGGGCGTATATAATAGACTATAATTAGTTGCATGTACATACACTGGTTTTGAACTTTGATGTTTTATTGGCAATCCTACCACTTCACCTTATTTTCATATTTTTACTATACTTGAGGGTGATTTTCTACCTTGATCGTTAATGAGAACAGTTCCTTTCTGGTATAAATCTCCATGTACATTAGGAATACCGTTTGACGAGTTACACGTGTAAATGCCATCATTTTCATGCCGCCTGTTGTTGTTGCCTGCTTTAAAGATGGTCAATTTACCATCTTTCGTCCCTCGGAAACTTCGAATATATTCTTTGAATTCGGAGCGATGCTCCCAGTTGCCAAACGTATAGTTAGAAGGCTCTCCTTTATGATTGCAAGTAAGTATTATTTTGTTGTCAAATAATAATCTTGTAATATGGATAACCGGAGGATCTGTGAATGTAAAATACTATTATGATTTTCATTAAAATCAAAGCTATTTGAGAGAAAAATTTGATAATATTCAAACGTATAACATTAATATAAAAAAATCATTTATGCACACTTTTTTGTAGTTGTTAAATGCAATTACCAACAGTTGACAATCAATGTTTTATAGATTTTTTATGAGTATCACCGAGATCTGTCTTAATGACTTACTACAAGTCAACACAACAAATGTGCTTGCAAGTTGAATGAAACCAAAATAACGCAGAAAGTCAAAAAACATTATGATTACTGCGTATGTTTCTTCTTATAATTGATGGACCGGCTAATGTGGTTTTTGTTCGATACAACTACAGTTTACAATTCGAAAATGCAGTTATTAATAAGAAATACTCTTGTGTTTTGAGGTTCCAGGAGAAAAAAAAATTAAAATGTTCTATAAATGAGTAGTTCAACCTGTATATTTGAGGCGAAATATATCAATTGGGACATCCAAGCTCAAGGCGAAATAAACTGACCAGAAAATTACAGTAAGACTTAAAGACTAATGACGGTATATAAAACACAACAGAGACACAAAAAAACCCGAACAACACGAACACCGCTAAATACCGTGGATGAAATGATCAAGTTGTCCGGCAACCTAAAACAGATCCTGCTCCACATGTAACACACGTTGTTGAACAATATAATCAATACAATTATTGATTTATTTTCAATATAACCAATACAATTATTGATTTATTTTCAATATACCGAAAGAATATGTCTGTCTGTAGTACATTATTTTTAAATCAGAATACTCGTATTAGAATCTTGTAATATGAATGAAATAAAATGGTGAATACACGTGTATGCAACAACAATTCAATCATACAGACCATTATTATCAATAGCAAAAAACAAAAAAAGAGGTCATAATGCGGTTTCAACTAATGCAAGTTCATGTTTTCTTGGTGCCATTTTTTTCAGTTTTAAGTATATTGCATGCTTTTGCCAAACTTTTCATTGCTATGACACTCTACTTACATAAAACCTTGTAGAACATTGATTGTTCTGTTTGTCCTACTGTGTTAGTTGCTTTACATATGTAAAGTCCGGTATCGCTTCTGTTAAGTGAAGTAAATTCCAAACATAAGCAAGAATCATAACCGTTGAGCACGGATTCGTCATTTTTTTCCCATTCAATAGTTCTGACCTTTGGATTGCTTTTAGCTTGACAACATATTTTTGTGGAATTCCCTTCCACTAAAGTTTCTGGAATTATTTTATCAATGGCAATCTCTGGTTTGACTGGAAAAGAATTTCAACTTTTGCATACATAACTTACTTTCTTTTTCATGCATGTAAACAGGATTAGTTTACATAAAATAGTTGTATCTGAATATATCTCTATATAAAATTTAGGAGATGCGGTATGCTGTAAAAGGGAAAACTATTCACTAAAATTCAAATGGAGTGGATGTAAGCAATTATATGTTACCTTACGGCCTTCAACAACGAGAAGGGGCCTCGGTGGCCGAGTGGTCTAAGTAGTTACTACTGTACTCACTAGCCAGTCAACACTGAGGTTGTGAGTTCGAACCCCGCTCGTGCGGGTGCACTCGACTCCAATCTTAATTGACTAGGATTTTCAGTTTTTCTATCGAAGGTCGGTGGTTTTCTCCGGGCACTCCGTCTTCCTCCACCAATAAAAACTGGCCGCCACAAAATAGCCCAAAAGCGGTGCTTAAAAATGGCGTTAAAACACCAAAACTCAAATCAAATCAAATCAACAACGAGAAAATCCCACACCGTGTAGTCGGCTATAAAAGGCCCCGACATGAAAAAAAAACCCAAACAACTCAAGTCTATCAATATATTTTGGCAGGCTTTCATAATATATTTAGATATTACAAAACATTAAAATTTGATGTAGCGGGTTTGATAAATAAATGGCAGTTTTACTTTCAAATTTATGTCTAATTACAATAAGTCAAAACTATATCAACTTAAAATATGTAAATTCAAATGAACAATAAAAAAACAAAAAATTCTCCCCTGGTATGTTTCATTGGTTCTATACTTAGAAATAATGTCTACTATTTCATCCATAATAGTTGATCAAAAAAATCTGCTATGATCAGTTGTATATTAGAAATGACATTGTTGTTTTTTTTTTTTTTTTTTTTTTGATACACTTGTTACATGTACTGTTTTGTGAGGAGAGGGAGGGGGGTTGAATGGGAACATTTGAATCGTTTGATAATCTCACGTTAACAATTCAAAACATCTTAATTCCAAAAACATTATATATTAAAAAAATGTTTATCACATAACACATTAAAAATTTTATGCCCCTATTATTTTATGATATCTAAGGCAGATACATTTCATATCTTGTACTAAAATCTGACGTTCTCATTTTTTGTGATTTAGAAGAAAAAAAAAATAAAATAAAACGCTTTGTAAATGTTACGTGTTTGAAGCGCTCTTTCTGGATTTACCTTCATTACGAACGTTCAAAGACAGATAGATGTATAAGTTACGTATCAAGTGAAGAGCTGTATTCCTAAGAGGCACATTCGGTACACCCTTTCCCCCGTCATCATCCCTAGTAACTTGATCATAGTGATCACTGAAAAGAGTTTCACTCACATAGGATATCTAGCTCTACTGTACAAACCAGTGGATTATTCAGTGTTTCACTAAAGGCATAACACACAAATGACTGCTGGTTGTTCTTTCTTGTAGGAACAAAAGAATACTCTAGGCTACCATTTTTACCCCAGTGAATTGTGGATCCATTCGTTTTTAAAACCAGTGTTTCCTCTGGATTACCACTTTTCACAGTGCAAACAATTGTGATACTTTTCTTCTCAACTCTGCGGAGTATTTTCTTTCCATCTCTGTCAATTGTGTGTTGTATTTTCAAATTAGAGGGCGGACCTATTAAGAAAAAACAATTTACAATATTAAAAATTAATGTTGTCTAATGTAACATCTAAAAGATGTATACAAAACAAAATGTTAACTATTATTAATTGTATGTCTTTTTTTATGAAAACATATTTTCCTTTGAAAAAAGATACAGTTATATGGTCGTACATGACAAAAAGCAATCACATACTGGTATAACTTTGTATTGATACATACGAAACTATTACGCAAATTTTAGTATATTCTACAACAATGAACTGAAAATTTCCCATCTTGCAGCAAGATTGACAGCCCTTAATATACTATATATTCATTGACAACAACTACATGTCATTATTCAAAAGCTTTGATGGACGAATCACGAGAGTAGTCAATTTATTTGATTTTAGATTGTCTCAAATATCAGTGGCGGATCAAGAAATTTTCATAAAGGTGGCCCGCTGACTGCATAAGAGATGGCTTGCTCCAGCCATGCTTCATTGATTCCCTATATAATCAATAAAAAAAATCCCTCAAAAGTGGGGACCCGGGCACCCTGCTCCCCCTAATTCCGCCATTAAATATTTAGACAATTCATATCATCTGATAACGTATACAGTAACCCTTGGTTAGTAAGTTGTTGTTGATCTATGAGAAAATGAATGATAGAAAATAGATACTCATTTGTGTCGAATGGTAAAGGTTTTTAACTTTCTAGATTGTTTATATACTTTTTTATTTTCATGTCTCATACATCATTTCTTCTTTATATATTTTTTTTCCAATTACAAATTCCGTCATTATATTTGTTGTTAGACAAACGATACACATGAACAAGCTTGAATACAGATGATACGTGCTGAAAACGTAATACGTTATAACCGATGAGACAACAACCATTATAGGAAATAAGGTAGATCAAAATATTCAGAAAACACCTTTTTGAAAACATTAATTCGAAGAAAGACCAAAATTAAGTAAAACCAAGAAAGACCAAATACGAGCAAAAGTAAATAAAACATTGCGCAGATAAACGTAAGATTAAAAACCATTAACCCTACCAAAACTGATAATGAAATCAGGTGAATCAGATTATTAGACATGGCCCGTCCCAACTAGGAATCCTTCGTGTCAGTTAGATGGCCAGATTAATACCCATAGTATACAAGTTTTAAACTGTACCAGGGAAAGGTGTCCTACAGATTAAACGCAAGTTGAACAAAAAAATTACTTTTGACATATTTTCAGACATTATTTTTTATAAACAAAAACTTACTTCGAAGGTACACGTTGTAAGTATTTATTATGATAGAGCCACTTTCCCAATACTCGCATTTGTAGGTTCCGGTGTCGTCAGCTGAGAAATTTCTTATTATCAAGTTACATTCACCACTTTCATAATCCCCACTGATAAAGATATTTGAATTTTTCAGTTTGGGATTCAATAAAAGCCCCTCGGCGTAAGGCACATTAACTGGTTCTGTTTCGTTTGCATCTAGTTGATTTACCGCCGATGTTTTTAATACTCGCCATGAACTTTCGTTTTGATTAAAACAAGTACAGTTAAGAACAACGGTTTCTTGTGTGCCCACAAAAATTCTTTTTGTGCTAGACGTAATCATCTCTTTTCCTACAAAAAATACTTCATCCACTATTATTACTATTAATATTTAGAATAACTGACCTAGAATAATACATAATCATGATCATAATGATATTATAGATTCATTTCCTAATTGGTCGCTATACAAACGCTGATAAGGAAAGTATTTCAGATCTTTATAACCTGTAGATGTAACTTTTATGATATGTAGGTATTAAGTCTATATTTATACATTTTCAACATGTTATGTTATGCCAATGTGTTCAATAAATATAGATTCTACCACTGCATCGAGTGTGATACGATATTTATCCACTCGAGACAGTTAAATTTTAAAATTTAAAACGCGAGGCTCGCCGAGCGTTTTAAATATTTAAAATTTAACTGTCGAGAGTGGATAAATAATCGTATTACACGAGATTTGGTGATGGAATCTGTTTCTCTAATGATTTTCAAACAATACGCAGGCAAATTTATTCCTTCTTTTCGAATGATCTGC